TAAATGAGACTTAATTTAGCTGGATACAGGATCCCGGGTTGAAAGTTATTTTGTTTTAGGAGATTAAAAGTCAATTACCACCCTCTTCTAGCTTGACAGGTTTCAGCAGAGAGATCTGCAGTCATTCTAATATTCTTCCCCTTGTAGGTTATGGTTTTCTTACATCTGGCTGCTTGCAGAATTTTCTCCTTCATATTAACTTTAGTGAAATTAATTATGATGTGTCAGGGGGTTGTCTTATTTGGGTTGAGCCATGCTGGGGTTCTGAAACTGTCTGCTATCTGCATTTCAGAATCTCTTGACATGTCTGGAAAGTTCTCCTTCATAATCTCATGAGAAAGGGCCTCTGTGCTTTGTGAAGCAACTTCATTGCCTTCAGGGATTCCTAAAAGGCAAATATTAGTTTTCTTCAAATTATCCCAGAGCTCTCTGAGAGAATGAATAATCCATTTTTGCTCTCCATTTCTCTTCCTCTTTGAGTGCTTGGGAGTGTTCAAAAGCTTTGTCTTCAATATCAGAAATCCTTTCTTCTGCTTGCTCTATTCTGTTACTGAGGGATTCTACTATATTTCTCAGATATTTGAGGGCTGCAAATTCTTGTCTCAATGTGTCAAAATCTTTGGTGATTTTGTCTTTCAATTCATTGAATTCTTGAGAGAACTTTTGAATTGCTCCTTGAATTTCTAATTCCAACTTTACCTCCATTCTATTAATCTTATTTGCAATCCAAATTCTGAATTCGATTTCTGACATCTCAATCATTTGTCTATGAAAAAAACTTAAGTGGTGTCCACTGTAAAGTTCTTTGGGGGAGTTGATCTACACTGGTTATTCATGTTACCAGAGTTTATATGCTGATTCTGCTCCATGATTATTTTATACCATTTGGCTAGATGAGCAGATAAGGTGAAGTTGGGTTGGGGGGTTCCTGGAGTAGTGATTAACCAGCCCTTTGCCCAAGAGCTGTGACTGGTGTCTGTACCTTTTCCCATAGAGCTTTGCAAAGGACCTGTACAGTGCTATGGCCTGAGACACTGGGGACTTACTTGGTGTGGTGAGGCAAACTGACTCTGTCTTGTTTTTAGCTGGTCTCTGTCCTACTCTTGTGAATTAGATACTCTGGGTTGAAGTCTCAGCTGTGGAGAAATACCAGCAATTAAGTCACCCCAACCCCCATGGGCAACAACTGGAAAAGGAAAATCAAACCTTCCCACAACCACACACCTTTGGATGGTCCTCGGGTGATTGGTCCAGTCTGAAAGATCCAAATCAGTTATCCCAGTCAGCACCTGATCTCAAGTGAGGGAGTTCAAAAGGTCTCTGGCAACTAGATAGCAGGGATCTGCTGGCAGCTCGAGCATGACTCATTCTTGTGCTCCGCGGAGTCAGAAGGACCCCCCCTCACCCAGCAAATGAATTAGTCTGGGAAAGTTGATGCCTCCTTCCCCACTTTGCACCTCTGTCACACCCAGTCACTGGTAACCCCACAAGCCTATGATCCTGTTCCCTCCAATGAGCAGATGCTCCAGGGGTTTGTGCCTGCCTGAGTCACAGAGAGATCTTATGTCTCCTCGGCCAGGCCTCTGCACTCTGCCACCATTCAGCAGGGAAATCTGAGGCCCGACAACCTCAGGTGGTTAATGGAAGCTGGGGCGGTTCACTCAGTTCCAGCCCTACCCCTGATTGATGTTGCTGACACTTGTATTTTCGCAGAATTTGTGATTCTGTTCTGGCTATATTTTCCTGTGGACCAGGTGCTGTTTGAGTTCACAGAAACTGTGTCTCAGCCCCGTTCACTGCCCAGAACTAATGTTACTGTTTCCCCTGCAGTTTCTGTGGGGCAGGTCCAGTTAGAGCTTACACTCTGCTTTTGGTTTCCTGCCTGCCTTTGTCTCAGCTCTCTGAGGGCTGGGTGTTTCTTAGGCTCACTAAGCAGTCTTGATGCAGCCCCACCCTGGGAGTATGCCATCTCTGTGCACACATCTTCAAATCTGTCCCAGCCAATACCTCCTCAGGTATACCCTTTGCTCATGGGGTCTGCGTTACCATCCCAGATCTATTCTGCCAGTGTCTGCCACTGGAGAAGATGCCTGGCTTTCTCTGGTTGCCCAGAGAGACTGGGAGTGTCCAAAATATCCCCAGGAGTGTAAGCCTTATTGTTCCTGCTGCTGCTCTGTGCCGGGGGGTACCGCTTCTCCCTTTCTGTATGGTTCCTTCAGTCCACCGTTTTCTCCTTACCCCTGTACTGCAGAATCAGCACAGAACTGCAACAGCACACATCCTGTCCACACCTCTTGAGAAAATTCCCAAGAATCTGGACTCTATGAGGGATAGTCTTCCAGACCTCAGGATAAGAGTGGAGGGGAGATCTTAGAGTTCAGAATTGCAGGTAGACTCTATTCCATTCACAGTAGTGCCAAAGAAGATGAAATATTTGGGAGTTTACCTAACAGAGGACATGAAAGATCTCTGTAAAGAGAACTATGAAACTCTAAGAAAAGAAATAGCTGAAGATGTTAACAAATGGAAAAACATACCATACTCATGGCTGGGAAGAATCCACATTGTTAAAATGTCCATCTTACCCAAAGCCATATACAATTTTAATGCAATCCCTATTAAAGCTTCACTGTCATACTTTAAAGATCTCAAAAAAATAATACTTCGTTTTATGTGGAATCAGAAAAAAACTTTGAATAGCCAAGACATTACTCAGAAATAAAAACAAAGCAGGAGGAATCACACTACCAGACATTAGATTATACTATAAATTGATAGTGATCAAAACAGCATCGTACTGGCACAAAAACAGAGATGTAAATGTATGAAACAGAATACAGAACCAAGAGATAAACCCAGCTACTTATCATTATTTGATCTTTGACAAGCCAATTAAAAACATTCAGTGGGGAAATGATTCCCTATTTAACAAATGGTGCTGAGTGAACTGGCTGAAAACCTGTAGAAGACTGAAACTGGACTCACACCTTTCACCATTAACTAAGATAGACTCACACTGGATTAAAGCTTTAAACTTAAGACATGAAACTAAAAAAATACTAGAAGAAAGTGCAGGAAAACACTTGAAGAAATCAGCCTGGGCAAATATTTTATGAGGAAGTTCCCCTGGGCAATTGAAGTAACACCAAAAATACATTACTGGGATCTGATCAAACTAAAAATCTTCTGCCAAGAGATTTTTCTTCTACTGCCAAGAACACAGTAAGTAAAGCAAGCAGACAGCCCTCTGAATGAGAGAAGATATTCTCAGGTTATGTCTCTGACAAAGGTTCAATAACCAAAATCCACAGAGAACTTAAACATATCAGCAAGAACAGAACAAGTGACCCTATCTCAGTGTGGGCAAGGGACTTATGAGAAACTTCTCTGAAGAAGACAGGCACATGGCCTACAGACACATGAAAAAATGCTCAGCATCCTTAATCATCAGAGAAATGCAAATCCAAAACACTTTGAGATATCATCTAACTCCAGTAAGATTAGCTCACATCACAATATCCCCAAACCAGAGATGTTGGCGTGGATGTGGAGAAAAAGGAACACTTCTACACTGCTGTTGGGAATGCAAACTAATATGTTCCTTTTGGAAAGATGTTTGGAGAACACTTAGAGATCTAAAAATACATCTGCCATTTGATCCTACAATTCCTCTACTAGGTATATATCCAGAAGACCAAAAATCACCTTATAACAAAGATATTTGTACCAGAGTGTTTTTTGCAGCCCAGTTCATAATTGATAAGTCATGGAAGAAGCCCAAGTGCCCATCAACCCACGAATGGATTAATAAATTGTGGTATATTTACCCCATGCAATATTATTCAGCCTTAAAGAAAGATGGAGACGTTACCTCTTACATGTTTACATGGATGGAGCTGGAACATATTCTTCTTGGAATATGTCAAGAATGGAAGAAAAAGTATCCAATGTACTCAGCCCTACTATGAAACCAATTTATAGCTTTCTTATGAAAGCTATAACCCAATTATAGCCCAAGAAGAAGGGGAAAGGAGAGAGGGAAGGGAGGGGTGGGTGGGTGAAAGGAAGGTAATTGGTGGGACCACACCTACAGTGCATCTTACAAGGGTACATGTGAAATTTACTAGGTGTAGAATATAAATGTCTTAACATAATACTAAGAAAATGCTGTGAAGGCTATGTTAACCAGTTTGATAAAAATATTTCAAATTGTATATAAAACCAGCACATTGTACTCCATGATTGTATTAATGTACACAGCTATGATTTAATGAAAAAGAAAAAAAAGAAACAAAAAGGGTCAGTGGTATCATTGCTGACATGTGAGGATATTTTTATAACATTTTATAACCACTTCTAAAATTTTTCTAATTCTACACTAGTAGTGGCAATATTTTCCTTTGCCTTCCTCTTCCAAATAATTACATCTGTTTTTAAGGGGCTCTTTCTGGATAGATATCATATTTTTTTCTGGAATTACAGTATATTTAACCACATTAATTTTTAAATAAATATTAGTATTTGTTTTTTATCTTCTTTGTTCTTATCACATGTTGATGAGATTCCATCTAGAAGTATCTGTGCAAACATGGTACTGTTATGTTCAAAGTTAGTGTATTCTGCAAGTATTTTAACTGTAGTAAAATTTATTCTTGCAACAAAAGCATTTCTTTGCTAATTGCTGTTCTCATCTTCCTATAAAGGATGGTGAAAGCATAGAATGCTTTCTAAATAATTGCATTTTTGATTCGAGATTTCAGCACAACATATGGATAGAGACCAGTATTATTCTAGAATTTTCCTTCATAAATTGATGTTTGATAGTCTAATATTCATCTCATTATTTCAATGATTCAGAAATGACTGTAACATACTAACAAAAATATTAATATGTTATTACTAAAAAATGCTATGCTCTACCAGAATTGTATAACAAATAATAGAATTGCAATCATAAAACTAAGAAATGCATTTGATTCCCTTTTTCCCAATGATAACAGGATACGATAGATGATCTTGATCACTATACCAATACTTACCAAATCTACTCCAAAGATCCCCAAAACTGCCAGGAATTCCTTGGTTCACCAGACGTCATCAATTGGAAGCAGCATTTACAAATTCAAAGTAAGTAAGAGAAATGAGTTCTGTGTGGACTCACTTCTGTGTTCTGAGCAAGTCTTCATATGACTCACACCTCCTTCCCCTAAGCCCCAGACCCTAATCTGTCATCATTTTGTTCACACAGATGCAACTACACTTGTAAAGGGTGAACAAAAGAAAACAGAAAATTTGCAAAGAATAGTCTTCATATAGCAGTGGTTCTCAACCTTCCTAGTGCTACAACCCTTTGATACAGTTTCTCATGTTGTGGTGACCACCTAACCATAAAATCATTTTTGTTGCTACTTCACAACTGTAATTTTCTACTGTTATGAATCATAATGTGTTTCCCGATGGTCTTAGGCAACCCCTATGAAAGGGTCATTCAACCCCCAAAGGGGTTGCAACCCACAGGTTGAGAACCACTGTTATATAGGAAACTATACTATAATTCCTTGGCACCAAGGATTTATGACACATTTTGAAGCTATGTCTAGAACACCTGGGGAGATTGGATACCCTGGCCATCTTTTTTTTTTTTTTTTTTTTTTTTGCAGTTTTTGGCAGGGGCCAGGTTCAAACCCACCACCTCCAATATATGGGGCCAGCGCCCTACACCTTGAGCCACAGGCACCACCACCCCACCCCTAGCCTTCTATTCCTGGACTTAGAGTGATAGCTCATGTGCTACAGAACACCTCCCAGGTCTCCAAAGACAACTACCATAGTTATCAGTATGCCCACTGGAGTTAGACTCCCGAGGACAACATCTGCAGATTACTCACCATGTGATCTTACACAACTGACTTACTTTCCCTGAGGTCACGTTCCTTATATATAGAAATGAGGATGATAACAGTGCATTAAACACAGGGCACTGAGAAGATCAAATGAGCTTAGCATAACACTTGGATGAGTTAATTTTTTTTGTTTGTTTGCTGTACAGCAAAACACACCAAATGTGCTGGGCTTTGCAAAGTCCTTCTGCTGGTCTCATTTGGGTTTGCTCATGGAGATATAATCAATTCCTGGATAGACTCTAGCTGGTTGCTCTACCACAGCCTCACTCAGATGCCTGAATGATGGTTCTGACCATCAGTAGTGACAACTGGTGGCTGTGGTGACTGTGTTGACAGCATGAGAAGAGCACATGTTTTCAGCAGGCTAAACTAGGCCTATTTTATGGTGTTGGTCTTAACATAACCAGGAGCAAAAAGCAAGGGGAATCCCCAAGGTACAAGTACTTTTAAGCCTCTCCTTGCATTAAATTTGTTCTTTCTCTGGGTGAAAGCAAGTCAAATGTCCCAAGGTCAGATGCAGTGAAGGAGTGGACTATCCCGAGGAACAGTTGTCAAGAGCTGTGGACAAATCATGAGTCATTAATTCAACAATCCATGACACTGAGAAAACAAGCCCATAAATATTGGCTACCAATTTTTAAAAACTCATCTGCTTTCATTATAAAACCTATATGTTTATATAGTGTAGAAAACTTGGTTTCAGTGTCAGCATTGCCACTAAAGACATGACCATAACTGAATTCATCTCTGGGCATATTTTCACTTATGTAAAACTCATAGAAAAATTATATAAAACTTACTTTGTCACCCAGCTCACACAATGGCATTACCAAGAAATACCAAGACCAGAACCAAGAGTTTAGGACTTCAAATTACAGACACTTCCTACTGCACTCCAGTAGGGAGAGCTGCTCCTGCTATGTATCTGAACCATGACGTCTCTCCCTGTGATCCCATCTAGGTTCACAGCCCAGCCTGAACCAAGTGATAGAACATCTTGCAGACACTAAATCTTTCAAAGTCAAACGAACACAACGCATCCTGTATATAGCTCCTCAGACAGCCAAGAAACTGGCTCCCTCCCTGCTGGATACACAGAATTTACCACCCACTGATGGCAAGCCCAAGCCCATGTGAGTTGGAAAACAGTCACTCTACACCACTCACGCCTCCCACAACTGAAGTAGCCCCCAGCTTCTCTCTCTGCTGGCACCCTGGCCTTTCCACAATCAGTGTTCTGCAAAGTAATAAGGTCGATCTTTTATGATGTAACTGACACCAAGTTCTTTCCATGCTTGAAAGATTCCATCATTTCCCTTCTCATCTGGAATAAATCAGCTCTCTGGCTACCACTTGGACCTTTCCTGCCCTTTCTGCTCACTTCCCCCAACAACACTGGCCTTCACCGCATTCCTCCATCATCGCAAGCTCATTCCTACTCCAAGGCTGTCCACTCTCTCATGACAATAGAGGGAAGCAGTATATACCTTCCATATCTCTTCATACTTATAGATGTTGTTTTCTTTTCGGACTCTCCATAGCAATCAAGAGATGTTTAAACTCTCATCCCTGGATGTTGCACATGCTGCCTTGGTGGATAAATTTTGGTCTTTTGGAGGCAATGAGAGAAGCCAGAAATTCATTGAGTGCTGTATCCAGGCCTTCCCCAGCTCCTGTCTGCTTGGGCCCAAGGGGACCCCTGTGTCCTGGAGCCTAATGGACCAGACTGGAGAGATACGGATGGGAGGCACCTTGCCAGAGTACCGGCTCCATGGCCTCATCTCCTATGTTATTTATTCCCAGATGCAGACAATGAACAAACTTGGCTTTCCCATCTATTCTCACACAGACAAGAACAATGAAGCTATAAAAAAATTAGGTCACAATTGGCATCATATCCCCATCCCTGGAGGCTGGAACCAGTGGAAATGTGTGCCTCTGTGAGCACATCCTGAACATAAAACACTACAGGGTTCCTGCACCCAGAGGTTTCTCAGTGGAGAGCAGGGCCTGGTCCTCATGCACTGGACATGCATAATTAACTTCCCACACCTCCAGGATGTCCGTGACACTCCTCCATCAGCTACATATTGCTTCACATTTATTCTCCTTGAATTTCTAGTGTATGGGAAGTGGGATACTTGCCAATTCTTCTGGGGTCTGGGGAATGGTGGGTAATATTTTCTATGGACTATATAACTTATTTCTTTCTCTTGACCTTTTCATTATTGATAAAGAAGAGGATTTCCTTTATTAGGTCATTAGAGATTATCCTTTCCTGTGATTGCTATCTAATAGGTACATTAAATATATCACAATAAATATGTATAAGACATTAGGTGAAACACAGTGTACCTGATGTACCAGAGAGAGCTGTTAGACTACTGGTCAACATACACTACAACTTACACTACTCTGTCATCCCTCAGGTCCCAGTCCAGAAAAAATAATATAATGCCATGTGAAGGCTGAGCTTTGTAAACCCCAAACAACCTGAGAAAACCCTAAATGATACTAAGATTTTGGTGTTTAATTGCACACAATTTTTAATGTGTTTATTTAAGCTAAGCAGTTTATGATGGGGAGAACATGGGGTGAGCATAGGAAGGGGAAGCAGCCCCAGACCCAGAGAGGTGTATATTTATTGAGAAGACATAGAAGTCAAGGGCAGGGGAGGGCAGCATGCATAACTGCTGTTCCACCTGAACTCAGCATATCATAAGTCTTAGTTTGTTCCTGCAGCTAATAGTAAATACTTAAGATTGGGTAATTCATAAAGAACAGAAATTTATTTCTTATGGTTCTTGAGGCTAGAAGTCCAAGATCAAGGTGCTAGCAGGTTTGTGGTGTCTGGTGAGGGTCCAGTCTCTGAGTGACAATGACGCTTTGCTGCTGTGTCCTCTGGAAGGGATGCATGTTGTGTGTTCATGTGGCATCAGGGCAAAAGTCCAAAAGAGCCAAACCAGCCTCTTTGTATAAGACTTCAGTCCATCCATGAAGGTGGAATCTTTGTGGCCTAAGTACCTCCTAAAGGACTACCACTTAATACGTTTGCATTGTGTATTAAGTTTTAGCATGACTTTTGGAAGGGACACATTCAAATAGTAGCATAGGTTCAGGATGTCCAATTGACTGTATAAGATCTGACTATTGTCTCAGGAAAGAGTTGGCTGTTGGTGGGAAAGAGCAGGAACAATTTGCTTACAGATTAGAACACATTAGCTTGAAATTTCCTTTCCCAGCACTTCAAGAAAAAAAAAAAAAAAGAGCTCAACAAGAGCACTGGCCATCAAAGAGAGCTCTGGAATGAAAGTGACTCCTGGATTGAGAATTGGACCCAATTAGAGCAGGTGCCCACAGCTCCCAGCTTGTACTTCTGCCATCAGATAGTACAGCTACTGCCAGCACCACCGGCACCGCGGGGATAGCACCAATGCTGACACACCTGGGAGAAGCAAACCTCTAAGCCAGGGCTGGGGCTGGGGCTCCTCCCCCACCAGATCTTTGAGGAGCAAAGGCCTGTTTTGCTACTACCTGCCTGCTACACACCACCTACCACCCCAGATGCCACATGCTATCTGGATTCCCCAGCCCCACCTGCCTCCTGCTACGTCCTGGTGCTTGCCACCACTGCCTCTGGACTCATCCAGAGTTAAGGTTAAGCATAACAGCTATGAAAAAAATAAATACCCAGAAATATACTTAGCCAAGGAGGTGGAAGATCTCTATAGCACTTTGCTGACTACTATTTTAGAGCCAGGGCTGCTTGAGAGTATAAAAGAAACTTTTTGCGAAATAGTGCCCGTGTGCTGCATGTGGGCTTACACGAGTTTCCTGGGGTCCCTCTTTAATTTTTTCCTTTCATCCATAATGAAATTATTAATCAATGTGGAAAATGAAAGCGATGATCAGGACAGGAGCAAACCTCCCTTCTTGGTTATTTCAATGTAATAGAATTGCTACTACAAATATTTTTTATTAACTCACTCATTCTAGGTAGGAAAGTGAATTCTTTGTTGGAGGTTGGTAGAGCAGGCACATAGGGTGCTTTAAAATGAAAGGACCCTGAGATAATCCTGTCTCCACTACTTAGTAGCTGTACCTCCAATGGTGAGGCATTCAACCTCTCTCAGCTGCAATTTTCTCACCTCTAAGAGTGAAACTAACAAATGCCTGGGATGAGCCACTGTGATATTTAACTGAAGCTCCCAAAGGCAAGAGAGAGAACATGTTTTTTGGTAATGGGGAAGAAGTATTCAGGCACTTCATACAGAAAATTTTCTTCTCTGATCACGGATGAGCAAAGAGCTATGATTTTGCCAAGTTAATTTTACCTCTGGCTTCTATCTTGCTTCTGCTGCTATGATCTGGGATAGGAGGGATGGGGAGAGATGTATTGCCTGCACAATTGCATCTTGCTTCACGCCTTGGTCTGCTGGTCTCCTGGAACCAGAACAGAGAGCAAACAAGTGTTCTAGGAGGAGAAGTGGAGAGGACACATACAGACCGTCTCCCAAACGGGTAGAACCAGGACCCCAAACAGGAAAAAGGAACTTGGAAACCCATACAAGTCAATAGGGATTTTCCCCCACATTAAAAGAGGACAGTTCACACTAAGATCTTTATCTTTGTAACTTCTATTAAAAAAAGTTTACCTCTGCACATTATGAGTATCTTAGCTGTATGTGGCAGGATAAAGAGAATGTCCTAGCTGGAAAAGTTTGCTGCTTTGTGTAAGTTCCTGGGAACTTTTTAGTGCAGACACAGCTTTCCAGGTGAGTTCTCACCTCACAAAGGCATGACCCCCTTTGGAACATCCCTTTTCTTTTCTCCCACAGTGAGGTTGGAAAACAATCAAATGATTTTGTTGGTTTGGGGTTGGAAATGCTGAGCTTTGTTATTGGCATGTATGCTGGGGAAAGGCAGTCTACTCAACTTGAAAAAATATGTATACAAAGCATTATGCGTTGAGGAAAAATTCTTGAGAGAACTAAGCCAGTTCTATCTGAACAGATAAATGCTAGGAAGAGATTTCGAAGCTGGTAGGTGAATGGACAGGTAGCAACATTTGCAGAGAAGAGCATTGATCTAAGAAACGTGTTTCTCCTACATGTGCAGATCTTTAGGAAACACTAAAAAAAGGCAGTTTTTTTCCTTTATAAATTTTAACCTGGAAAGTGAAGAAAGTTGTTCAAATTCTGAGAGGAAACATACAGAGGATGTATGGATCAGATTTACTGTTAATTTAAATTATGTGAGAAAGAAAATTAATTTAAGTCATTTTATCTATAATGCTAGGACCATAAAATAGTTTCTAATACTTTTGCTTTCCCTTCTAAACTTATTCTGCTACACCCTTACATATGCTCACATATGTTGCATATTTAACATATATAAAAAATGATTTACATATTCTAATCAAGGGCTATTTACCAGTTTATGTTCTACATGTTCTCTTTTTAATTTTTTCCTCTATGTGTGTGTGTGTACGTATCATAGTTATTATGTTATTAATTCCGTAGGGGCAATGATCATGATTTAGATTGCATTTCCCTAATGTTAAACATGGTGATCTCATGTTGCTTCATAAAACTATTTCTTAGACACGATTGTAAGAGGGACTTTACCTAACAAATGCAAAAAGTGTAACCCTCAATGAATCCTCAACAATAAATTAAAAAAAAAAACAACTATTCTTAGAACATATTGTGACTGTTTGAATGGTCTCTTTTGGATACATTTTCAGGAATGAGATACCTGAGTCTGGAGTGCCCTCTTAGTGAACTTTGCTCCTTGCCAAAGCTAAAAATTCACATTGAGGGTATTAGGTTTTCTATAGCCTCTTCAGGTTTTGGTCTACCCTGTTAATTGGCCATCATGTTACTGTTTTTGTTGTTGATTTTAGTTTTCACTGTGTGTATATGTGCATGCATATTTGTAAAGCAGTCTCACATTAGTCTCACATCTGGTCGGTATTACAGTCTCACGTTAGTCGACATTTGGTCAGTAATACCTGGGATTTGGAATCTATCTCACTTTGCCTCTGTTTTCCTTCTACATTGTTTATTTGTATTTTTTAGATTTTGGGTGCACAAGTGAAGTTTTGTTATATGCATATTTTGAGTAGTGGTGGTCTGGGATTTTATTGTAACCAACACCCCTGTAGTGCACATTTTGCCCAATAATTAATTTTTATCCTTCACCCACTATCCCACCCTTCAGAGTTTCCATTATCTCTTATTCCATTCTTCATGTCCCTGTGTATAGATTATTTAGCTCCCACTTACAAATGAGAACATGTGATATTTGACTTTCTTTCTGAGCTACTTCATTTAATATAATGATCTCCAGATCCACCCAACTTGCTGCAAAGAACACGATATTCTTTCCAATGGCTGAGCAGTATTCCATGGTGTATGCACATCACACTTTCTTCACCTAATCATCTGTTGCTGAACCCATAGGTTGATTCTATGTTTTCTATTGTAAATAGTACTGTGATAAATATACCAGTGCAGGTCTTTTTGATATAAGGATTTCTTTTCCTTTGGGAAGATACCCAGGAGTGAAATTGCTGAATAGAATGTGTTTAGTTCTTTGTGAAATCTCTGTGCTGTTTCCCATGGAAGTTGTAGTATTTACATTTTAACCAACAGTGTATAAGTGTTCTCTTTTCTCCACATACTCATCAAGGTGTTACTTTTGACTTTTTAATTTTTTTATATTAAATCATAGCTGTGTACATTAATGCAATTATGGAGTGCAATGTGCTGCATTTATATACAATTTGGAATGCTTTCAAGAAACTTGTTAACATAGACTTCACTGCATTTTCTTAGTTGTTGTGTTAAGACATTTATATTCCACACTTAGTAAATTTAACATGTACCCTTATAAAATGCATCATAGGTGTGGTCCCACCAATTACACTCCCTCCACCCATCCTCCCCTCTCCCCTCCTACCCTCACCCCTCCCCTCCCTCTCCTCTTTCCCTTTCTTCTTGAGCTATAGTTGGGTTGTAGCATTCATATGGAAGTATGAGTATTTATAAATTGGTTTCATAGTAGGACTGAGTACATTGGATACTTTTTCTTCCATTCTTGAGATACTTTGCTAAGAAGAATATGTTCCAGCTCCATCCATGTAAACATGTAAGAGGTAAAGTCTCCATCTTTTTTAAGGCTGCATAATATTCCATGGTATACATATACCACAATTTATTAATCCATTTGTGGATCGAAGGGCATTTGGGTGTCTTCCAGGAGTCAGCAATTATGAATTGGGCAGCAATAAACATTCTGGTACAAATATCTTTGCTATAAAGTGATTTTTGGTCTTCTGGATATATACCTAGTAGAAGAATTGAAGGATCAAGTGGCCGGTCTATTTCTAGATCCCTAAGTGATCTCCAAACATCTTTCCAAAAAGAATGTATTAGTTTGCATTTCCATCAGCAGTGTAGAAGTGTTCCCTTTTCTCCACATCCACGCCAACATCTCTGGTTTGGGGATTTTGTGATGTG